AAGCTTGAGATTAAATTACGCCAGACAAATGCACTGAGCAAGCAACCCTGAGAAAGTAAACTGACTTCTTTTATCATGTTTCAGGAAGGAAAAAAATCTTCATGCTAAATGAATGTTATTCCACAATTAAATCCAAAGATTTGTCGGTTCATAAATATTAGGCCAATATCTCCTTGAGCTGCTATGCTGCATGCAACCATATAGTTGGTCATACTCAATGCAACTCATTGCACTGTTACTACATACGGTAACACCTGAAAACTAACTTCCAGGCACTATATACTGTTCTGGGAGCTCTCTGGTATAGATTGTAGTTCTTCTGACCAGCGAGAAGCATAGGTCTGTTAGAAATACTCCTGTCTGACCCATACATCTTACTGCAACTTCAGGCCAGTTATCTGAGGAGAACACGTGTTAACGTGAAGGGCAGGGAGGATCTAACAAGTTGCTAGTGCCTTTCCAAGGTCAAAAGAGCAGGCAAAAGAGACAGAGGACCTGCCTGGCGGAAGGGCAGAAACGTCAGCATTCACCATGAGCATACAATAGTGTGTGGACTCCATGATTAGTTTGCCTTCTCACAGCTGGCCACCACAGATAATCAGCTCTAACAACAGCCAGTTTGAAATAGTCCTTCTCTAGCTGACATAGTGGAAGCCTGTTTTGAGCAGATGGTGGATCTACATGATTCTGTTCCCAGCCTGTAGTCTGTGTTTAAGCATGTCCAGTTTATCTAGTTACGGTGTGTCTGTGCAGTACGGGGACAACGCCGAAAGATTCCCTTTACTGAAAAGGCAGGAAACTGCTAGGAAGTGACTGCTTCTCTTCCCTGTGTATGGCCAACAGCGATGAGGGACCCTAATCCTTAAAAGGGATAAATCCTGTGTGCTACAGAGGTGCAAATGGGTACCTGTGGGCACCAGTGGACACCAGTCTAAGGGCTCCAACTGTGTTTGATTCTGGAATGTGTACAGCCCAGCTATCCTCGATAAGTAAAGGAAAGGATTTGGTTTGCAAAAACCTACTTTAAATGCTGTTAACACTAATCCATAACACACAAATCTTTCTGCTTTCAGATCCCAGTTACGATAATGAAGCCTGATGAGAAAGCTGAGATACCAGTCGGTGTTGTGATTGGCAGTATATTGGCTGGACTCTTTTTGCTCTTAGTGTTGGTTGCTGTTTTATGGAAAGTAAGTAGGTGTTTACATTCTTGCAAAAAAAAAAAAAAGCAGAAAAGAATGTTTCTTCATACATGAACTTGGGCTATTGTCTTTGGAATCTTTCTCTAGTGCTGCACAAAACTGCACATGCAGTTTGGTGGTAAGAATAATACTGTATTGGTATTATACCTTGGAGGTAGCGTTTAGAAGTACCTTTAAAAATTCTGAGAGAAAAACTACTGAAATGAGCAGCCAAAGAAATTGGCACATGAGGGTGTTAAATGGCTTGCCAATGGCTAAAAGCAAGGACAGTGGCATTTTTGTCTTTTGACATTGGCTGCATCCCTCCACAACTCACCAGCTGGACTCTGAACACTCCCACGATATTCCTGGTGGGCAAGGCTGGGGAGTAGGGGAGACCAAGGAGAGAAAGTATGCACCAAACAGACAAAAAGAAACAGAGAAGGGCTATGGCAAGAAGTGGCTTACAAAGAATACCTACTTCAAGGGGAGGGAAAAGTACGTCTGTGTGCTAGGGCATTGGTGTTTAAACAGCTCACTGCCCCACCAAAACAGCTTGGAGAGGTCTTCACGCCCCTGTATTTTGGAAGAGAGACAACTGCTGTTGTGGCATTTGGTTGTGCCAGGCACTTTACGTCCCGGCTCTTTTCATTTTACAGTTAAGGAAGTTCAACAAATAATTAAACACCGTATGCGTGTACATACACACACATTCGCATTTTCTACCACCATACTATTTGCTCAGCTGAGAAATGTAGCTGCAAATAACTAAATAAATGGCCCTTGTAAATACCCTATTTTAGCAATTATACTAACGGATAGCTAGTTTTCATATGATATGATATGTTATTTTAAAATTTTTTACAGCTTGGCTTCTTCAAGAGACAATATGAAAAAATGACACAGGATATAGAAGATATTGATGAAATTACAGAACTCACAAAGGACAAGGACTGATGATGCAGAGTAATAGGGATAAAGAAAAGACATCTGAGCCACCAACAGTAGTTGTGATCCAGTCAGTTCTTCAGCTGGAATGCCTTAAAGTTTAATAACACTTAAACATTTTTAATGAAAGTGTCTTTTTTATAGATAAAAATATTTTACAGATTCTACTCTATTGTAAGAGTAACTGCAGGACAGTTTTTTTTTTTTTTCCAAAAATGATTTAGAGTGCCTTTTCTTGTATATTTTTGCCTTTCAAACAAACTTAGCCCTTAGAACTGGCAGGTCCGGAGTTTACAGTAACATTTTGTGCCAGCAGCCCTTCTCCTGATCCACTGCAGAGTGAAACAGAGCAATTTATTTCACAGTATTGTGGGATAGCATCAGTTCATAATTGAGTTGACAAGTACCATATGTGTAAAGGACATTTTCTATTAACTTGATGATGAATGTGCAGTGAATACTGTTTCCAGCCTGGGAAAAGAAATTTCAATTTATCATTGACTAGCTCCAGCCTTATTGTTTTAGAGAAATGATTTGCACCAGCAAACTTTTGTCTTAACTAATCTATAAACTATAAAATGGGAACTGTGTATGAAGATGTCTATCCATGTGTTACGGGACGACTGGATGGGCATATTGTTCCAAAAGATCACCATATTCCTTGCACTAAGGTCACAATTAAATTACTGAAGCATATTGTTTTTGAAAAATATTGCCAAATGATACATATAATTGCCTTCTGCATACTGTCTTTCATAATCACTTACAGCGTGTTCTCTGCACTGTTATAATTGGTTTTCAAATTTCATCCTGAGAAGACCTACCAATACTGTTACACTGGGCTTTGAACTAGCAGTCCCTCTGACTTCAAATTGGCTTTTGGCATAAATAGGGAAAAGGGTCAAGCTCTTGCCTTTAATTCTGTATTGGAAGATTTTGCAAGCAGAAGTGCATGAAGTTCGAGTTAGAGGGGCTGATGACTGAAGAAGTAAGCTGCTGTTAGGCCAGAGGAGAGTGAAGATCTAAGCTCTATAAATTGGGTACAGCACTTTTTCCTTTAGCATCTCAGTGCCCTGCAGGAGAACAAAGCTCAGCATGACCTACGTACCTCTTATGTTATATGTGGTCCCATGTCTCCATGTTTTGAAGAAGTTAACTTACTTACTTACCTTTTATACAGTAAAGTACTGTATTGCTCTGAAAAGAGCGCTGTTAACTGCACAACACTTGGGTGACTTTGTATTGCTTACTAACACACACCTCAAATTCATCACATGCTATTATACTGCCTTTGTCGTAATGCAGGCTCAGTTTCAAGAAGGCCCCTGCTCTTAAGACAGGTAACAGTCAAGGTAATTGGCCTTTTGTTTGCCTTCCACTCTCATGGCTGGCAATAATAATCTGTTGTGAGAGAAGATGTGTGTGTTGTCTTTATGTATGCTGACTTATGACTTACAGTTAAGATTGTTTGCGACTCCCAGGCGATTCACTTGAAGAGTAAAATATTTAAATGTGCCTAACTGACTAGAACCTCAGGCCTTGTCTTCCCGCAAGCTAGTTCTTCATTATGCCTAGGCACCTTTAAAATTATTTTCTGAAGGGCTCTTCAAAAAATGAGACTTGAGCATGCTTAAAAGTTAGTCTTTTTAATCAGTAAAGAGTGATCAGTCAGGAGCCAACCACCTTTTTTTAGCAAATAACAGCTTCATTTACAATGGTACCTGGCTTGTGCTCAGTGTAATCATCTTATGTGTGTTTTGGATTTATATCTATGAAATATTTTGTTTTAATTTTGGGGTTTTTTTTTTAAACATTCTGAAAAACAATCTGGATTCTGATCTTGATTGTCTAACAAGGTTGTTGGCACCAGCTGAGTCTGTGGCCAAAACAATTATTTAAAAAATAAAGAAATGTAGCAATTCTGTAAATTTCAAGAATAAGCTCCTGATTTGTGGTTACGAACCCAGAGGGCAAACACTCTAAAAGTAAAGGTTAAAAAATTGTCTGCCTCAATTCTTGTATAAACTTGAGGAGGAAAAAAGCAAAACCGTACACCCATATGTGTGGGAAGTTCCTACATAACTAGGGTCATGCACTCCAGGCCAGAGAGGGAACTTCACAATGGAGCAGATGGTAGCAGCTTTCATTTCTGGTGCTGCTCACAAGGAAACTTAGGCGTTCAGCCAGATTTCCCTCTTCTGCCTTAAGTAGAAGGTACAGGTCTGTATCCCACACCCAACTTTTTGCAGAATTTAACAATTCATCAAGTAGGCAGCAGTGATTCAATTCACTTGGATTCACTGGGTTTTATTTTGTCCCAGACAAGACTTTTGCCTTTGCCTGGAAACGATACTATTCCCTTAACAAAGGGAAGGCACAGCACTGGGTAAGGTTTTGTATCCATCACCTAACCACTTAAGGTTAGTAGTTTTATTTGTGTTTTATGATTAATACTTAAATGGCTAATTCAGTTTTTGTAATGGGCAAGTTTATTGCACTTTTGAGTTGGCACAGCTGCAAATAATGCTGGAAATATGATGTATATTTTGTATTATGCTCAAAGGGTTTTTTTTTTAGTTTTACTTTTTTTTAAAACAGCATGTTACAGATGAAATAATATTCTGAAATGTCAGGCTTCAGCATGTGCTTTTGTTTGTGCTTGCAGCAAGAGAAGTCAGGAATAACTTCAGCAAGTTCAAGTTATAAATAGATCTGATTCTGATCTTGAATCTAGTTGCGGACTTCTTGAAGTACTAGAATCAAGTCCTAACTTAGAGTTAGTTTCCTATGAGACTATGTAGATTTGGGATGTACAAGAGACTTCTGAAAGCTAGTGTGTAAGCTCCATGGGAGCAGGGACTCTGTTTAGTGCCTACCTGAGGGCCTAACAGCATTACTACAATAAAAACAAGAATACTGTTGAACATGGAGTCATTTATTTTTAAATAGCACTTTGAAGGGAAGAAATGCTACTGAAAAAGCGCTACCTGAAATGGAGCCAAATACACCTTTGTTCCACTAGCACACAGGGAAAACCCTAAAGGGATGACTCTGCTAGGTTTACAAAGAAGCTGCATTTAAACTCTTGCAGGTTGTAACACCACTAATAAGCTATATTGTAGTATAAGTCAGTTCACATTAGTGCAAAATACCTATATCCGGATAGCTCTGAATGCACATCTATTGATGATAAAACCACACCAGGCCTAGGCCTTCATATACACATGTGGTTATCTCACCTCACTTGCATCTATTCTGCCAGCCCTATGCCCTCCACTCATATAGTCTGTAGTGGCATCTCCTGACAACAACTCTGGCTGTTCTTCACCGTACAATGAAAAAGCAGAACGCAGCATTTCGGAGGGAGACTGGTGGGAAAGGAAGGGAGGGAGGAATTTGGTTGTGACTGGGAAGATAGTGGACAGTCATGACAGTAGCTACCACCTGAAAACTAGCCACTTTCATGGAGATTACTTTTTTTTTCCCCCCCCCTCTTAATTCCTCCATACTTTATTAGCGGTAGATAAACTTTCCAGCTACAAACTTTAACGCTTCCATAATACAGAATCAAATGACCCCAATCTTAAGGAATACAGTTCTGTTTTTCAGCAAGTTTAAAGCTTTTGTGGAATTGAGAACCAGATTCGTTATATAGCGACTTGTCTGCATTACACCCCAGTTTTAGATGTAAAAAAAGTAACAAAAGCATGCATATGAAGACTAAAAAAAAAAAAATTAAGGTAGTAAAATGTATCTCACAAAATCTACATAGTTAATTATCTCAACTTTTTATTGCCTTTAAAGGCAACTGCATGTATGTAATTTTCACAACTCCACAAAAGTGGTCTTATTTTTTAAATCAAACTTTCTGCCCTCATCTATTTATATTCTTAATTTTTCATAGGTAATCACAGGCATTGGTGCGCTAGCAGTTTTTTTAAATAGATTCACCTCTTCCTCTTAAAGTAACAGAAATAATTGAACTTTCAAAACAGAACTGTTAGAAAAATACATCAGGAAGCTAATTTTTGTAATACTTTGCAGGATTAAATTGTGTGGTTGGTTGATTTGCTTTAAAAGAACAGGCCAAAGGTAGTCAAAGGAGCACTGCTGAGTTAAAGTCAGCAGCCTTCTTTTAACGCTCTCTTTCTTGAAGTAACTGCACAGGACACCCTTACTGGAAGAGCTTAAAATTGAGTTTTCAGAGGGGTTTGGTTTTTTGAGGGTATAGCATCTGCTTTCATTACACTTTGTTTATAATTAGTTGTACTATTTCCTCTTCCTTATATGACAAAACAGATGAGTACATTACAGAAATATTTCTGTGAAGCTATAAATTCCCTGAACAGCTATAGGAAACATGAGCTGAAAGAAAAGCCAAAAGTAGACTAATTTAGAATTGAGTAATTTAACGGCTTCATTACTGAGTGCAACAGTGGCAGTTTCATGAGTTACAGTAGAAGTGAGCACCTGTATCTCCCAGCATACCCCAAATCCGGGCAGACGGGCTGGACTGGCTGTGAGCTGGAGACCTGTGCAGCGCTCCGGCCTCCCCAGGAGCTCCCTGCCCAGCACAGCTGTCTCTCTGCTGCCATCTCCTGGGTAGGCTCCTTATAACACAGCCCCCCAGTTTAGTTCGGGACAATCTTCCATCAGTAAATGCTTTCATAGCATGCATCAGTCTGGACCCCTCTTGAGAGCAAAACAAAATGAAATATTATGAGGCAGGAAACTCAAACTTATGCAATGGTCATGTGTGGACATTCGGCCAGGCAAAGCAACAGTCTATATTCAAAGATTGCCAGCCCAAGACCAAGTCATTTTCTCAGAAGGACAAATTCTAGCTTTGCAGACTTCTGCTTCCCTCCCCGCCATATACCTTGGCTTGCATATATCTACAGGAGTCATACACCTATGCTCTGGTCTACAGTGGCTGTTCCCAGTGACTTCTGTCTCCACCCGGAGCCGCTGGCTCTGCAGCATGCTGTCACACAGCTGGAAGGAAGAGCCACATACAGGTGGGATTTGCCCTTCTATAGCCAAAAGAGAGAAACAATTAGACGCATCCCACAAATCTAGGCCTGCGTTTTATATTGATCTTCAGCTGCCCATTATCTTACAGATCTTGTCAGAACACAAGGCATTTTTTGACCAGCAGCCTGGTTTTGTGTGTGTGAAAACCAGGATACGCGCAACCACATCCCTCCCTGACACACCGTCAGAAGCAGATCATCCCTCGGCCTGGAAATTTGGAAGCACTTCTGCATCGTTCCAGACATAGTCTTAGGCAGCTATCATAGGACAGAATAATTTGCCTTCTTAAGATAGTATCTGCCTAGCAGAGCAGGGAGCCCTATAGAAGGGGCCTGAACAACTAGCTCGGAGTAGGTACTTAAATTTCAGTGAGATACATTTTACCTCTAATTATACTCATCATCCCTCCTAGGGGTCTTTTCCATTTCTCTTTTAGATGCCAGCTGAAGAACCCAAAGTTACACAATCCTGATACATCATTGTTCCAGAACAAAGCAGTACTTGCCTCATGCACAGCTAGGGACACAAAATGACATTTCATTGTTTTGACCATGGCAGTGTACACACATTGTAACATTCAGTTGTGACTCAGTACAACATCTCTTCCATTCATTGTTTCTAGTCACTGTGGGGAAGTACACTATTATTCTTTCTCTTCTTTTCTGCACCCTCCTTCCCAGCTGCATTGCCGATGGGGAAGGTGCACTTAAGGTCATGCTGGATAAGTCTTCTACAAGACTGCAGCACTAGAGAAGCATTAGTGAAACACAGGAATTGCCTCTGAATCTAGAGCCTCAAGCTGATTTAACTGCTCCAGATACCACTGTTTTTCTGTATTAAGCACAGCACTAGCTTACAAGCACTGTACAGGTTTTACTTCATTCATAAACCATCCACCACAAGGCAAATTAGCCATATATTTGTTTGAAATTAACACACTCATTAGTTGCCTGGTAACAGCAAATAAGTTAATGTGGAGAAATGAATGCAAAAAACAGGAAACAGTCTGTATTAGTTACTTTAACAAAAAGAAAAATTACTGGTCTGAGGAAGTGATCTGTAGTCAGGGTTCCGTACAATTCCCAGAAAAAATGACATTCAAATAGCAGAGGGCTTCTCTCCAACACCCAAAGTAAAGGAAATTCAACCTTGAACTTGCTCAGCTCTGCCTAGATAATAAGGCCCACATGGTTTGGAGGCTGCATATGTGCATGCACGCAAGGAGCAGCTGCTGTCCTGCAGAGGAGCTCTCTCTCACTTCCACTGAGGGAAAGTACGCAAGATAATAAGCACAGTTTAACCATGATCCTGCCTGAAGTTTTATATTATACTAAGGTTTAATTAATCCAGATAAAACAAGCATCACTAAGTATTAAAACTGATAGAAATTATCAGCGAGGGGAGATATCATTGCCTATTTTTCAGGTTTTATTTTGTGCAGCAAAAAGCTGTTTGCAGATTTTCACTGCAGACACAATGAATTGCATTACACAGCTGAGGCCCAAGTGTTGTGTGATGTAACAACATATGAGCTTGAGCAAATCATTTTATTTCTCCTTACCTCTTTCATTTGCCATCCTTGTCTACATTGATAATAGTTAGAGAGAAACTGCCTTAGTATTAGTAAACTACCTCAGCATTAGTAAAAATGCCATACACAATGGGACTTTGAGCATCCAAACACTATCATGGCACAGAATGATAATATGAAGAAAAGATCTTTCTTTGGTGAGCAGCCGATAGTTTTCAGTGGAAGCCCATGCATACCGTGTCAGTCTTTTTCCTCTTTAGGTAGGTTTCATAACAGTAACAAAACCGTACTAAAAGTTTAAATGTGAATATAAATACAAACTGTAAAAAGTATACTAGAATTCCCTGTCCATTGAACAACCAATATGTTTTGAGGACTTTGAATCCTAACCCACCTAAAGTCAAACTACTAAAGCCGATTAGAGTTGCCTCTTTGTAAAAGAAGCTGGCTTTTTTCTGCAGCACTATAGAATTACACAGCCACAAAAGCTCCTTCAAAATAAATAATGTCTAGACATCATTAAGATGTAGTTAAGGGTTTGCGTGTTAATGCTAATGCAAGTTTGTTGCTGGTACAGTATTAGATCTAACTTTGAATCAAGGTTTGTCCATATTTTTTTAATGTGATGGACTTGTATTATCAGCTGCATGGTAAAAATATTTCTATGAGGCACAGCTACCAGAAAGTAACCACGACTGAAAAATTAATAACTCTGGGGTATAGTTTATATTTTCTCCTCTGTCTGTACCAAAATGTTTAATCTACTTCAAGAAACTTTCATATCACAACTATGTCACATTAGTGTAAAGCTTGCAGACTGACTCTGCATTCATATAAAATTAAACTCAGGATTTTTTTTAAGGTAAACACAAACAAACAAACAAAACATTTGTCCTGTTATGACCTCCCAAGCAGACAGTGAGCACAGATTACCAATATAAAGGCAGTAAGCCCTTATAACATAGAGTAACCAAACTCTTGCAACCAACAATTTTAGGGAAGATTTTTTTTTTTTAAATTACTCTAGATGAAAAAAATACAAAGAGATATTTCAAAGGAAAATCAAGACCACTTAAAAACCCTAATTATTACTCATTCATTTCATTCAGTCCTAATTAAACTGTTCATATTGAAATGTCTATTACTACTGCCTAAAAACATATAGATTCTCCATAAAAGCAACTCAAAGCTAAACCAGCATGCTCATTAGGAACAGTAATACTTTATTTTTAAAAGAGTATAGTTATTTTTCTGAATTTGCCCAAAAGCATTCCTTGTTTTCTTTCCAAGAATATTCGTCCTCATAAATCTCCTGCAAATATAAACAAAGAATGGGAAATATTGTAGGAGTCTGCTATATACAGCCAAAAACTAGGCCAAACAACTCAGCAATCTCCCTGCTATTATTTACTGATCACATCAGGGCTACACAGCACTTAGCTGGCAAACAGAAAGCAGAGAGGGCAGCATCCTTAGAACATATGGACTTCCATGTGGGCAGTCACTGAACCTTGGGCTGAACCCTAGGCTGATCCCCAATAATTTCAGCAGGGCCCACCTCTGTAGAAATCACTTCAGGAAAGATCTAGAAGAAAGGATGCAAACACCATGGAGCATACAGCATTCATGTCTGAAACTAACATTTTACATGATGCCATGCTACTCTACCATCATTTGTAGGAATGAGAATATTTAAGTGTACATAAAATGTTGATGTTAAAAAAAAAAAAAAAAAAACACCCTCAATTACAAAAATTTCCATTTGGTGACATCAATGCCTACAATACAGTGAGTATGACATATTTGGGACAGATTAGTTACTACCCAGCAGCACATCAGTCCCAAATTCAGCAGGGCTTTGAACACTTGACTACTCTTTCTGAGACCACAGAACCCCATTCTCCTGAAAGAGATGTCAGAAAAGCAGAGATATCTAGGAAAACATTTTGTACTGCGCAGTAACTCAGAGAACATCCTTGTTACCACATGCCAAGTTTTCCCTAGGAGAGAAGGCAGAGGTAATGCTCATTACTTGCACGCAACACTCTGGTTATGCAATAAGGCTCTTTCCAGACCTAGGCTCTCCACACGTTATTGTGTCCCCATACTAGCTTTGGGACCTCTGCACATTCCTTCATTGTGTGCTGCTGCTCTGCTTATGTGCACTGTTGCTTAACACTCTGTGCTTACTCAAGGCCACATGGATGAGAGGAAAATGGAAAAACCAGAAACGTTACTTTTACTTGCAAACTGCAATGCCATCCAAAGCGAAGCTGACTAATGGCTTTTTCAGAAGCCTCTGCAGAAGTGAGCTTTGCCACCCAAGGGAGGAGAGCTCAGGGCTCCATGATTCCCATCACAGGAAAGAGTTAAGACTAAGAGGAGTTGGGACGTATAGGCAAGGGATGGCCTTCCATGTGTCCTCCTGCCACTGATGGGCCTGGTAGCAGTAAGAGGAACAACCACTAGTGCTAGAAAGAGGCGTCCCCTCAGCAGCAACTGCTGCCCATTATGCTTCAGCTCCTTCTCTAAAGACAATAGCAGCCCCCAGCCCAGCTGTTTAAGACTCTGGCACAATCCTAGAACCAAACTTGGCGCAAGTCTACCTTTTTCCATATTGGGACGGATGCTTTTAAGGTGTTGATGCAGTACCTCGTAGCTTCAAGGGATTCTGCTCTATGTGGAGAGGAGACCGCAATAATTACACTTGCTTCAGTTATTGGAACCAAGCTAGGAAGAGAAAGAAACAACAGCACTTTTAGCTAACGCTTACCACCAAGAGCAACCAAAAGTTGTGGCCACGTCACGTCAGTATTCTGGCCACACACTCTCCTGACTCATTCATACTGAGCAAGTGTCAGGCCATGTCCAAAAGATTATACAATTTCAAAAGGAAAGAAAACCACAACCAAAATTAGTACCAGATGAGAAAATTCCATGCTTTAGAATAAACAAACCCAGCAGCCATAACCTTTTTTCTTTCTTTCTTTCTTAACAAAGTTTATGAATTTAGAGGGCAAAATTGCTAACTTGTAACAATGCATAGGACACTCACTGGAAGCTGGTTGATTAATAGTAACAAGTCAGGAATGGCCAGTTTTTTCCCGAAAGCCTGAGAAATCTTCTCAGTTTGGAAACAAATATGTGGGAAAAAAAAGGAAATAAAGCACCTCAGACTATAAGGATTTTGCACTAAAATTTAATTTTTCAAAAATTCTAATTTCAAATTATTAAGTTTTTTCATTCGGTGTGCTATATGTACCAAACTGAGTTAAGAGAAGTAGCACAGGGTTTTGTCTCACTCCTCACATGGGCAATATTCCCGAAAGCTGCCTCCCAAGTCTCCCTCTATAGTAAGACTCTTCTGGCAAACAGTTCAGAGGGAAAACTTAAGTTTCAGTGCTTTGAGCCGCCCTTGAAAGAAATCACACTCTGTTGAGTGATTGATGTTGACTATAGAGGAAGTCTAAAGAAACGACATGCCAGAGCTAATACTAGCCTTTGTGATCACCTCCTAAGTTACTTCTGCCAAGAGGAAAGGAAATAGGCATCTGTGACACTCTCCAAACCCTGCTAATTTCATTGAGAAATCTGATGAACAGGAAGAGCTCAGAAGCACGTCAGAGACTAGCATTCTGTGTTTTAAACCCAATAAAAGACGGATCTCCGAGACTTAGGGACGAGGTTTTCCTATCAGCATGGCTGGCAATTCCCATTCCCATCCCCGCCCCTATATTCTAAGCTTTTAGGTCCCCTATGGCATAATTTGACTTATATTTGACAAAAAGAAATTGATATTCTAAAGCATTTCAAGAGAAGAGAGAAGAAAAAAAGAAAGTGGTGCCTTAAAAAAACAACCCTGCCCTTCCCTGCAAGGAAATCGCCAGCCCTTCTCCCCATTTTCAAACGAACCCAGCAGTACCAAGGTTCATGTAGGCTAAGTGTAGATTCCAGCAAACCTTACCAGCATACACTTTTTGAAAAGCAAAAGACCAGATTTCTGAAACTTAATTGTGCAGTGAGAGGTTGATCCTGCAGCAAGATTTGCTGCATTACAGAATATATAGACTCCTGTGCATCCTGCAGGTGCATACGCACAGCCAAGCACCAGCCAAGGATTGATATTCAGCTTTCAGAAGGATGGGGTCTGACCATACATACCCAAGTCTATGGTGCACTGCAATGTGTTTGACTGATGGCCACTTCTGTCTAACATCTCTGCAGATTTTCTTTATTTCAGTCTCTGCCATTGAAGTGTATGCTTCATACTCTAAGTGAACAACTTTTTTCCCTTCAAAATTATTTCTTGTAGTACCTAAACAGAAATAAGTTATCAACTAAAAGCACCAAATATATACTGAGTAAAACCAAGGATCTCCCGTTCTGGCCAAGGTCAGCACTGTGCAAACACACTGCCCTCCCCTCGTCTTGCGTGAAGAATTGCTTTATGGAGCCAAGATAAGTCTTTAACATTCCAGTCAGAATTTAGTCCACAGGTTGTGGCAGTCTGCAGTCAGCAATGCCCAAGGCTGGGGTATCTTTTGTGGCAACTGATAAGGTGCTGTTATTGCATCTGCCCATGCAACATTTAAGCGCTCAGTATTTAGGAGCCCAGTGGCGCTCACGTTTGAAGACCTATACCACGTATCTACGTTAAGCAAGAGGAGAGCACCATTAGCCTTGACCTCCCCCAGAACATTGGTTAGAGTATTTGGCTTTCAACCAAGGTCTGAGCAGCAGCAGCTTCCATAGAGGAGCACCTGTGGTTTGCACAGCTACAGCTACCCACATCCCACCTTGAATGCAGGTGGGAAGGGGAAGGGGGAGTAACTCCCAAGCAGTTCTGTGTTCCAGAGCTGCTGTTCTGCAGAGCCCACAGGATAACACCACCAGCAGGGAAGCTTTTCACCACCCTGTCCCAATGCAACTGCCTAAGAGTTACCATGGTCTTGTTCCAAATAATTCAGAGCGAGTTTTCTAAATATCCTGGGTTCACTCCGGAAATGTATTTTTTTGAGAAGCACGAGTTTGAGGTGTGGGGCAATCTGGGTGCCATTTCTTAGGTTTTTATCACACCCAGAGATCCAGCTTAGAGCTATTAAACTCACCAATGAACAGAGACACTGCTCCGCAGTATGGCGAAATGACCAGCTCTGACACTTCATCCACAGAGAGCTTTTCAGACTTGAGCTTGATAAAATCTTTTGGTACATCTTTGCTTTCATCCATAGCTCACTAGAAGGGCTGAAACCAAACAGATTCTGATGTTGTTTTTGGCAATACTAGCATTTGCCAGTTGCTTTTATCCAGTACTGATGCCCCAGTGTATTCAGAAAACATGCACCATTGCTCACTCACCACAAGAGACCAGTCTCCATGGCAAATATGGCAAATTCACTTTTCAGCAGACTTGCTGAGAGAGCATTAACTGCACATCTCAAGGGATGCCCTTTTATTTTTTAATGCATATGAGTTCCTTTCTGGCACAAAAGTCTGGCCCAGTAGGACTAAACTAGAACTAGTCCAATGCCCCAGTTTAACAGTACAGTCTACCAGCATGGACCGTTTTGCCAGCAGATCTGTAAGACTGTCAACCCCTTCCCCATTTTATCCTGAGATCAAACAGAGTTTAAAATAGAGATTTATAATAAAGAAAAAGAACTCTTGGGTTCTAATCCTGAGGTTTAATATGTTTTCCTTTCAAACCCTCATCCTATCAACCTGTTTCAGTGACACACGAGTCACTTCTAACTTCTCTGTGTAGAAACCAGTCATCAGCTCATCAAAGAATGAAGAGCAAAAGAAGCATGCTGAGCAGCAGCAATGGAACAAACTGCAATAAATACCTGGACTGGCACTTGGACTGGCACTTCAAAGCATGCAGAGAAATAAAAATATTCTAAGGACACCTGTCCCTTTGAGAGCAACAAACAAAAAAAAAATCTTTTTTTTTTTGTTAAAGCAGCAGACAATTCTTTTTCTCTAATATTTTTTCTCTCAAAAAGTGGCAGTGAAAATGTTTCACTATTATCTTACTTAGGCGAGCTGGAGGTCTGCAGTCAGCCAGAAAAAACTACTGAAGCATAACAAGACCTAACAACGAAAATCAAAACGATGCCTGACCTCTCTGGCAATCTTCTTCCATTTACTGCATATGTGTTAATCATTTATTTGTGCAGCAGCTTATAGTTTCTGGTCAGCATTATGATTCTCTCCAGCAGGAAGCACAAGTTAAACTCTTTCAAAAAAGCGGGGGGAGAAGGGGAAATGCACATATTTCTGGACCTAAACAAAAAAAGGAAGATTATACAGAATCCATGAGCTATTTCAACACAGGATGATCCTCCATAGGAAAATAAGCAAGAAGTGATACCTTCCAAAGAGATTTTGGACAGATTTAGCCTCCACTAATTGGTGGGATGATGGCAACCTCGTCTCCTGGGTGCAGGACTAGGAGCTGATCTCCAAGAAGCACGTACTCCTGCTGAAAACAGCAAAAATCACTTGATCCCGGATGACAGCAAGCCTGAGGGGGATTGGCAAGAGCACAAATAGGTTTCTAAATAGAGTGTTTGCATTTAACCATGAGATTTCATTAAACAACAAACTGGTGCACAGCCTAGGGTAGCTGAGGTCAATACCTCCAAGACTTACGCAACTCTGCTTCCAACAGACTTCTAAAAATATCATATATAACAAACATCCAGCTCCTACTCTTGGATTTAATTGTTGCAGGTAAGGAGGAATTAACTCGGTAAAATTTTTAGAAGTCAGGAATTGAGTTTGTCACAGGCATAACATCCTATGAACAACATCAAAACCGACTGAGGTATACAAGATCCTCTTCAGAAGCTTCCAACAAATCAGTAAGTTACTCAAGAGGATACCAACTATCCAATTTGGGATCCAAAGGAAACATGTCCCCTGATTCAGTCTGGCTGGCTGGAACAGTAATTTTCTTCCACAGCAAGAAGTAATGCGGGACGCTGTTCCTAAGATGTCATGGAGATTCAATGGTCTAAAAGTTGCTGTTCTTGCACAACCTCACAGTTTACGAGGCTTTTGGTCTTTTGTAGTTACAGATCTGAAATCCACTATTGATAAGGAGTGGTAAAACAGATGAGAGAGAAGATATAGAGTGTTTTCTGGCATATGGATATGTACAGAAGATCTTCTGTACATTTGCTTAGTCCTCACATCTTTGAGATTTTTTTTGTGACAGGCCACAGCTCTGGGGAGGTGGGGAGTCTCTTTCACGACTAAGTTAAATCATACAGTGAGAATGAGGACAACATCGGCAAGACAGAAAAGAATGCCAACACTTTACGTTAAAAGATGCAGGCATCTAATTGCATTATTTGAAAGCACAGAGTGTAGCACAGACTGCACAGAACTGTTTACCTAGAAATGGGTAGGTATGCCAAAAGGGCCTGAGTAAAAATCATCTTATTTCCTACCAGCCAAACAGACAAAGCAGGCAAGGCACAGGCTGAGAGAAACGCAGTAGCACTGATTCAGAGGACAGCCTGAATGGAGGGACTGTATGAAAACAAAGCAAGTCACTGAAGAACTTAGCGCAACTATGGACCTGAAGTGCTCATCAGAAGGATGGCTTCTAATTAATGTCACTACCATGTAAACTCATTCAGGAAAATGGGTGGAACAGAAGAGCATTGTCAAGTATGCTCAAGCTGCAGTTTGAATATCCATTTGCAATGTGAATAGAAGTCTGTGGTCAATGCCCTACTATTATGTTGAGTTTTTCCAGAAAAGCTAGGAACAGAAGCAATTCCAAGAAGGCCGCTGTGAAGTAACTGCACAGACAAAATGTACTGCTCCGAGTCCTCATTCATAAAAGGATGAATTTGGCAAACTACAGCAAACTGAACGAAGGTGCTACTGCTTCTGACACCAGCTGGAGCAGTAACATAGGCTGTAATGTAGGCTGCAAAATAAAATACACTCATTCCTTACTGTCTCTTCTCCCCAAACACACTTGGTCTGATTCCGCGTGAAGAAGAGGCCCCGATCTAACATTTGTTTGGAACTTCTCACTAGGAAACAGCCACCACTGGTAAATAGATTTTTTTTTCATAGCCATTGAAAGTAGATCCAATGAAGAAGGGTGGTGCCTAAAGGAGGACTTTGGCACCTAAATCTAAAGTTACGGAAACTTGAGTGCATTCAGCACTTAACCCTGAGGGCCTTAACCTCTGTCCTAACTTTTTTTCTTTTCTTTTCTTTTTTTTTTTTGTAATTAGGCTGTGCAGAGAGGTTGCCGGTCTCTATGCTTGGAGATACTCAAAAGCTGACTGGACATGGTCCTGGGCAAACCTGCTCCAGGTGAATATGCTTGAGCAGAGGGTTGGACCAGATGATCTCCAAAGGTCCTTTCCAACCTCAGCTATTCTGATTCTGAGCATCAAACTCACTACTGACAGGACCAAGTATGCTACCTCAGCTTTAACCTGAGATGGAAATTCCTCAGCTGACATACCCAAAAAGCAGTGGTACAGTAAGCATTCTTACAGCACACCTAACGTGTCTTACAGCACACGTTTCTCCATAGATACCAAGTGCCGGTTGGTATTCTACTGTCATATGCAGAGTTACTTCCAGAGCGGCCCTCCCGGATGACAAGTCACATATCTTTCTTACTTATGCCCAACTTTGGGGTACATTTATCAGATCTAGGCTTTTATAGTGTATATATAAAGCTATATAAGCTGCAATTTGTCAAAAAGCATTCAGATTACAAGAGCAGGGCATATCTCTGTTCTTACATGTTCCAGCTCTACCCTATATGATGAATCTGTATTTCTTATGTAAACTGTTAAACTTTGGTGGCCATCGGCAGTAATTTCCCCAAATACCTTGGATGAATCTTAACAATTTCCTCCCAGAGCTGCAGCGAGGTTATCTGTCGCGGTACAGAAAGGGTCTCGGAGCGCCGCCCTGCCAGTTCCGCACTCCGGGCAAAATACAGCACCACTACCTGTTTTAAAGGGAACAAATGCCTTTCAGGCTGCGGGCCTACTCCCCTACGCACAGGGGAAGGGAGGAGCTCTCGGGCGTCAGCGCACACAAGGCTTCGGGGGTTTCTTATGCTTTGGTTGTCAGGAGGAGAGGAGGAGGAGAAGATGGATTTTGTTGACAATAATCGCCAACCCGTGCCTGGGTCCAGCCCTCGCAGGCAGCCGCGGTGCGGCTCCCGCCCGGCGCTCCCACCCCGGCACG